TAGTGCAGGATGCTTTGGACAAGGTGAAGGTGATTCAGGAGCAGCTTCATACAGCACAGTCGAGACAGAAGAGTTATGCTGACAGGAAGGTCCGTGATGTGTCTTACATGGTTGGGGAGAAGGTTCTACTGAAGGTTTCACCCATGAAGGATGTTATGAGATTTGGGAAGAAGGGTAAATTGAGTCTTTGGTTCATTGGGTCTTTTGAGGTTCTTCGGAAGATTGGGGAGGTGACTTATGAGCTTGCTTTTCCATCTAGTTTATCAAGTGTGCATTCGGTATTTCATGTTTCTATGCTCCAAAAGTATATTGGCAATCCGCCTCATGTTTTAGATTTCAGCATGGTTCCGTTGGATGGTGATTTGACTTAAGATGTGGAGCCAGTGGCTATTTTGGAGCGTCAGGTTCGAAAGTTGAGATCAAAGGATATAGCTTCAATGAAAGTGTAGTGGAGAGGTCGGCCCATGGAGAAGGCTACCTAGGAGACCGAGCAGGAGATACAGAGCAGGTATCCTCACCTATTTGAGGCTTCAGTTATATTTCTTGACTCGTTCGAGGATGAACGTTTGTTTAATATGGGGAGGATGTAACGATCTGGTAGGTCGTTTCATAAGTTACCACTTTGTTCCCCCATTTCTTCTTCTTTATGTGTTGTTCAGCTGTTTTATGTGGTATCTGGTTAGTTGGTTCGGGTTTGGAGTGGTTTTGGAGAGGTTTGAGACACTTAGTCTCTTTTAAGTGAGCTTAAGTTGGAAAAGTCAATCGAATGTTGACTTATATGAAAAAGGGGTCGGATGTGAATTTTGATGTTTCCGATAGTTTTGTTAGGTGATTTGGGACGTAGGAGCGTGATTAGAATGTAATTTGATGGTCCGTAGTAGATTTAGGCTTGAATTGGTGAAAATGGATTTTTGGCATTTTCCGGGTGATAGTGAAAATTTTGATATTGGGGTCGGAATGGAATTCTGGGAGTTGTAGTAGGTTCGTTTTGTCATATGGGATGTGTGTGCAAATCATGTCATTCGGACGAGGTTTGATAGACCTTTTGATCGAAAGCGGAACTCGGAAGTTTTTGGAGTTTTTAGGCTTGAATCTGTGGTTGATTTGTCATTTCAATGTTGATTTAGGTGTTACGAATATTGGTATATGTTTGGATGGTGGAATATGACTTGTTCGTACTTTTGGTTGAGGTCCCGAGGGCCTCGGGGTGATTTCGGATGGTTGACGAGAGATTTTGAGCTGAAAATTTGTAGATGAAGTTGTTGAAGCTCATGTCATAACTGCATCTGCGGCTTGGGGACCACAGGTGTGGGCCCGCAAAAGTGTAAGGAGGGCCGCAGATGCTGAAATGGGCGAGAGGAGTTGGAACCGGAGATGCGGATGTTTGAGTGCATGTGCGATTGCGTAGGTGCGAGATTTTGATCGTAGGTACGATCCTTGGGCGGTTAAGTGAATTCCGTAAGGCCCTAGGTACGGGTCTGCAGGTGCGAGATTTTGACCGCAGAAGCGGTTTAGCTGGGGCAGAACATATAAATTTAGCCCTTCGCGATTTTGAGTGGTTTTTTACCATTTTCATGCGGGTTTGAGCTTGGGAGAGCAATTTGAAGAGAGATTTCAAAAGGGTTTTATGGAGGTAAGATTTTTGGATCCTAAACTTGTTTTTAAGATGGTTTTTGAATGATTAAGATTGAATTCTATGTAAATTAGTAGCCAAAATTGGGGGTTTAGGCATGGAAACTGGAGACCTTAATCTAGGGGTTTGAGGGGCAATTTGTGGTTGGATTTTGGTATTCTTTGTATGTATGAACTCGTGAGAGTGTAAGGATTCTAGTTTTGTGAATCTTATCGGGATCTGAGATGTGGGCCCGGGGGTCGGGTTTGACCAGTTTTGGGATTTGTGATGTAATTTGATTATTTTCGCATGGGCTTTGTTCCCTGAGTATATATTGATGTTATGGTTATGATTTTTGTTAGATTCGGGGCATTTGGAGGATGAATCGAGAGGAAAGGGTGTTGTGGGCTAGAGTTTGGCATGGCTTGAGGTAAGTAACGCTTCCAAACTTGGTTTTAAGGGTTCGAAACCCCAAACTACGTGTTCTATGATTACTATTGAGGTGACGCAAATGCCAAATAATGGGCGTGTGGGTGTGCACCGTGAGAAATGTGGCTCATTTCAGAGCACCGCTTAGTGACTCTTTCTTGCTGATATCTGTGTTGTATCTATGTGATTAAGTTAACGAGCTGCAACTTATGCTAATCACCATGCTAAGGCTTCTTTCCAATACTGTTGAGACCCGAGAGGTCATTTCTTGCTGTAATGTCATTAGCTTTATTTATATTCTATACTCAGTCATGTTCATGCATATTATATCATGCCTCAGTCTCGATTATTGCTATTTGACATATCATATCATTGTTCGGGCCAATATCATGACATTTTTTAACCTATGTGTCTGAGACTGGAGAATATTGACTGTGTGAGGCCGGAGCGGGACATTGATTGACAATATGGGATCAGGTTGCACGCCACAACAAGATATTGATCATGCCTTCGCTGGCATTGATATAGCGATTGGAATAAGAGAAGCCCCTCTAGAGTCTTTACACCCCAGTGAGCGTAGTGATGATATTGAGGGATGGATCTTCCCTGGACATGGATCTTGTCCGAAGTATTGGTATGGAGATGTATCTTCTCCATGAGGCTGGATTGGCCTGCTTCCTCGGTACTGGGTGACTTATAGTATATGATGTATATACATTCCGGGATGGATCTCGCCGGGGCCGAGTGGGCCGTATACAACAACGAGTGGTTGAGCATTGTGAGTGGAAGTATTATACGTAACATTGATCATGCTATCTGTGCATTGGTACTTAGAGGTTCCTGAGCTTTATACTCTGTAATGCTCATACTATATTCAATCACTGCTGAGAATTTACTTGAACTGTAAGCATATCTATTTTTCTGTACAATTAAATGATGCTACCTGATTGAGGTTTGGTTCGTCACTACCATCAATCCATAGATTGGACTTGTTACTTACTGAGTTGGTGCACTCACGTTACCCGCCGCACTCCTGTGTGCAGATCCAGGTATCTCGTGGCACGACAGCGGTTGTTGATCACACCAGTTGGAGACTTTCTGTGGAGATTGCGAGGTAGCTGTTTGGCGACCACAGTTCTGCCTTCTCTTTTCCTTATCTTCCTTTAGTATATTTATTTGGATATTCTCAGACCGTGTTGGTCATGCTATTTCGAACAAATGTAGTAGTTTTAGCTCATGACTTAGTGACACCAGAGGTCGGGATTGTGTTTATTTCCAGTGGATTTTGATTTCTACTTTTAGCTTATTAGACTTATGTTAAAATTATGATTTTTCTTAAGTTTTTATTTAAAAAAGGAGTATTTGAAATTAAGTGGTTGGCCTAGTATCACGATAGGCATCATCACAACATGGTTAGATTTTGGGTCGTGACATTGAGTTGGGTCAGCATTTCTGGTGGGAAGAATGGCATGTCTAGGAGAGCATTCTGCAGGTAGATTGGATTGAAATTTGGTGGCAAGTTCCATTGGTTTCTCATTACATGCACTAGTTGTGGGTTCACTGAAGGAGCTAGGGGTTGGAGGATGTTGTTCAGCCAGACTTAGTTTAGATAGTTGTTCATAGCCAACCTCATGCCCTCTGCTACCAACTGGGCTAGGTACTGTGTGTTGTGTAGTATGACAATCGACTCTTGACCATTGATTTAGAGATTGAACGAGACTGCATGGCCTATAAGTCTCATTTCCATCCACAAGACAGGTTGGTAGTCCTGAGTTTGTGGAGGTTGGACATAAATTATCTGTGGGTTTTCTGGTTGTGGAGGGAATGGTGGCATATTCTCCATAGCTAGAGTTCTGTGTTGTCTTAGAAGTTGTATGAGCATGTGTCTTCTTATTAGGGTTGATAGAATTCTTGGCATTTTGAATAGAGGGTAGTATGCTTAAGGAGCCTGAAACAGGCATGGGGATAGGGCTATTTGTAATGTGAGAGGGATTGGGTGATAGGTTAATGATTGGGGCTGCCAATTGCATGGCTTTTGGGTGCCCAATGCTTTTGTTTATAGGCTGATCCTTCATGGATGTAGTAACCATTGCATGTTCTTGGTTGGAAGACATTTGTTCAATCTTATCATCTTTCATTGTGATTTGACTGGCATGCTTTGGGGTGGGAATATTATCAAATCTTAAGGAGAGATTTTGTTCATGATTTTTCGTTAAAGGAGGATTATTACTAATTTGTTGGTTGTCTTGGCTAGTAAGAACGTTAGGATTATTATTAGCAGGGGGGATAGTTTTGTCTTTTAGAGAAATATTTTGCATGCCTTTATTTTATCTTTTTTTAGAAGCAAACACGTTATTTTCCAACATGTCAATGTCTTCATTTGGAGTGGACATTTGTTCATTTGCATGGCTATAATTCATATTAGTATTATTGATTTTTTTTTCATTTTTATTCACGGGAATTGGTACCTCCCGCCTCTTGTTTCTATGTCTCCTATGTTAATTACTTCATTAGCGTGGTATTTCGTACTAGTCTAGTCAGTTTAGTGGGCTTGTAGCTACTATTTGCTCCCTTTGTTGTTTTGTGTAGTATTTTTCTCTGTTTCATTTTTAGAGCTTCATAGGTATAGAGACTGTGGCTTGTAATGGCAGAGTAGGGTTATGTCCTTGGGAAGTTCGGGTGGTTAGGAGGGGGTAGGGCAAGGGTCGGGGGGTGGGACGGGGCCCAAATGGGGTAAAGGTAACAAGGTAGCCTGTAGGTTGAGAGTTGGATCGTGGAATATAGGGACGTTGACGGGTAAGTCTATAGAGCTGGTGAAGATTCTCCAGAAGAGGAGGGTTAATATAGCATGTGTGCAGGAGACTAGGTTGGTAGGATCGAAGGTAAAGAATGTAGACGGGTATAAATTGTGGTTCTCCGAAGTCGTGAAGGGCAAGAACGGAGAGGCATTTTGGTGGACATGGAGCTAAGAGAGTCGGTGGTAGAGGTTAGAAGGGTGAATGACAGATTGATGGCGATTAAGGTAGTAGTTGGAGGGAGCACTTTGAATGTCATTAGCGTTTATGCGCCGCAAACGGGCTTGGAAGAGGAGGTAAAAAGGCGCTTCTGGGAGGCGCTAGATGAGGTGGTACGGGGCATTCCGCCTACGGAGAAGCTATTCATAGGAGGGGATTTCAATGGTCATATTGGGTCATCTGCTGGTGGCTATGGTGAGGTGCGCGGTGGCTTCGGCTTTGGTGATAGGAACGGGGGTGGTACCTCACTGTTGGATTTCGCTAGAGCTTTTGAGTTGGTGATCGTGAACTCTATGTTTCCAAAGAGAGAGGAGCATTTGGTTACTTTCCGGAATATGGTGGCTAAGACTCAAATTGACTATCTCCTTCTCAGGAGGTGTGATAGTGGGTTGTGCGAGGATTTCATGGTGATCCTGAGTGAGAACCTCGCAACTCAACATAGGCTTCTAGTGATAAACATCGGTATTTTGATGAAGAGAAAGAAGAGGCTTGTACGGGGTCCGTCGAGGATCAAGTGGAGAGCTTTGTCTAAGGATAAGGGCGAGAGTTGGAGGGGCGACTGACAAATACGGGGGCCTGGAAGAGTGGTGGGGACGCTAGCGCTATGTGGATGGTGACCGTGGACTGTATAAGGAAGGAAGCAAGAGAGGTTTAGTGAGTTTCGAAAGGCTATTACGGCGGACACCGAGGTGACTGGTGGTGGAATGATGTGGTACAAGGTAAAGTGGAAGCCAAGAAAGCGACGTACATTAAGTTAGTTGAGAGCATCGATGAGGATCAGAGGAGAGAAAACATAGAAAGATATAAGGAGGCTAGGAAGGAGGCAAAAGTAGCAGTTACAGAGGCTAAGACTGATTCTTTTGGTCGGCTTTACGAGGAACTTGGGGGCAAAGGTGGTGATAAGAAGTTATTTTGATTGGCCAAAGTGAGAGAGAAGAAGGCTCGCGACCTAGATCAAGTGAGGTGCATCAAAGACGAGGAAGGTCGAGTATTGATGGAAGTGGCCCAGATTAGGCAAAGATGGAAGTCATACTTTCATAAATTTCTGAATGAAGAGGGGGATGGAAATATCGTGTTAGGGCAATTGGGGCACTCCGAGGTCATCGAGACTTTAGGTATTGTAGGCGCATTAAGGTTGAGAAAGTTGTGGGTGCGATGGGTAAGATGAGTTGGGGCAAAGTGACCAGACCTAACGAGATTGCAGTAGAGTTTTGGAGATATGCGGGTAGAGCAGGCTTGGAGTGGCTGACTGGATTGTTTAATGTTATCTTCAGGACAGAGAGGATGCCTGATGAGTGGCGGTGGAGTACAATGGTTCCTGTGTACAAGAACAAAGGGGATATCTAGAATTGTAACAACTATAGGGGTATAAAGTTACTAAGTCATACCATAAAAGTCTGGGAGGGGTGGATGAAGGGAGGATAAGAAAAACGGTGTCTATATCGGAAAACCAGTTCGGATTCATGTCGGGCCGTTCTGCTAAGGAAGCTATCCACCTTATCAGGAGGTTGGTGGAACTATACAGGGATAGGAAAAGGGATTTTCATATGGTGTTTATTGACCTAGAGAAGGCATATGACAAGGTCTATAGGGACGTCCTTTGGAGGTGTCTGGAGGTGAAAGGTGTGCCGGTGGCTTACATTAGGGCGATAAAGGATATGTATGATGGAGCTATGACTCGGGTTAGGACTGTGGAAGGTGACTCCGAGCATTTTTCGGTGGTTATGGGATTACACCAAAGATCTGCGCTCAGCTCGTTCTTATTTTCTCTGGCGATGGACGCACTGACACACCATATCCAAGGAGAGGTGCCATGGTGTATGTTATTCGCTGATGATATAGTTCTAATTAATGAGACGCGAGACGACATTAATGGGAGACTGGAGGTATGGAGGCAGGCTTTAGAGTCTAAAGGTTTCAAGTTGAGTATGACTAAGATAGAATATGTGGAATGTAAGTTTAGCGACGTGATGGGGGAAGCGGATGTGGAAGTCAGACTTGACTCACAGGTTATCCTCAAGATAGAAATTTTAAGTACTTAGGGTCAATTATCCAGGGATATGGGGAGATCTACGGGGATGTTACGCACCATATTGGAGTGGGGTGGATGAAATGGAAGTTAGCGTCTAGAGTCCTGTGTGACAAGAATGTGCCACCGAAACTCAAAGGTAAGTTCTATAAAGCAGTGGTTAGACCGGCCTTGTTGTATGGAGCTGAGTGTTGGCCAGTCAAGAATTCACATATCCAGAAGATGAAAGTAGCAGAAATAAGGATGTTGAGATGGATGTGTGGGCACACTAGGCTGGATAAGATTCAGAATGAAGATATTCGGGAGAGGGTGGGCGTGGCTCCCATGGACGACAAGATGTGGGAAGCGCGACTTAGATGGTTTCGACACGTGTGGAGGATAAGACTAGATGCACAGGTTAGGAGGTGTGAGCGGTTGACTTTGGCAAGTACGAGAAGAGGCAAATAACGACCTAAGAAGTATTGGGGCGAGGTGATCAGGCAAGACATGGCGCGACTTCAGATTTCCGACGATATGGATCTTGATAGGAACATGTGGAGGTCGAGCATTAGGGTGGTAGTCTAGGGGTAGTCGAGAGTTCTTCCCTCTTTGTACTGGGTAGTCGGATAGAGTTTTGTTTAGGTTTGTTAGCGGTCTTTGTTGTATTCACATTGTTGTTTTGCATAGTTTTGTGTTATTATTCTTTCACTTATTTGTTGTGGTTATTTTCTTTCTGGTAACTTTTGTTGTTACAGGTCTTTTCTCTTACTTCTTTTCTGATATTATTGCCTCTCTTGTTGAGCCGAGAGTCTCCTGAAAACAGCCTCTTTGCCTTTTTCGGGGTAGGGGTAAGGTCTGTGTGCACTCTACTCTCTCTATAACCCACTAGTGGGATTTTACTGGGTATGTTGGTGTTGTTGGTTTTGTCTAAAACCATTTTCTCACTATTCAATAGAGAGAAATTATTAATTTTTTTTTAAAATTATACTACTAGGCATACCTAGTAGTTATTTTATTAATAAAAATAAGGAAAACAACAAAACAAGACATCGCCGGGTGGTCTTACAAATTGAAAGAAATAAACTTTGATGCGTACATAGATCCTATTATCAAAGGTTCGTGTAAAACTCCCCAATGAAGAGAGAAAATATTTTTTATTGGAATGGTGGTTTTTCCCTTAGCTAAGGTGGCCGGATTTCTTGCACCATTCTTTTCTATGGAGGTTGTGGGATCCTTAGAATCCTTTGTGTGACGACCAGAAGGGTCATCACCGTAGTTCTTCCTTGTTCCGCGCTTTCGAGGCCTTGAAAACCTCGCTTTAAGTTGCCTCGATTGGCGTGAGCAATTCGGGCGCGTAACTGGAAAGTTTTTATGATAGAATATGTGAATTATGTGAAAAGTTTGATGAATTTCGATATTAATATGCATAATATTGACTTCGGTCAATATTTTGGGTAAATGGACCCGGACCTGTGATTCGATGGTCCCGGAGGGTCCGTAGAAAAATATGGGACTTGGGCGTGTGCCCGGAATCAAATTCCGAGGTCCCAAGCCCGAGAAATGAATTTTTGAAAGAAATTATTTTCTGAAATTTGATATGAAAATTTGAAATGAAAAGGAGTTAGAAAGTATAGGTATCGGGCTCGTATTTTGGTNACCCGTTACAAGTCTTAAATATGTGTTAAGCACTATCTGTAAAGTTTGGCTAAAAACGAACGTCATATGGCGTGTTTCGGACTAAAAATGGAGAATTTGAGTTATGAAAGTTGAAGAAAGAAAATCATGTGTTTGAGGCTTGATCCTATGTATATGATGTTATTTTGGCGATTTGATCGCACGAGTAAGTCCGTAAGATGTTTTTAAGGTTGTGTGCATGTTTGGTTTGGAGCCCCGAGGGCTCGGGTGAGTTTTGAATGGGGCCCGGGAGGTCTTGGACTTAAGAAAATGCAGGTTCAGGGGTTGCAGACACCAGCGCGGCCGCGGTCATTTCCGTGTGGTCGCGATGTAATTTAGTGCGGTTCGCGTGGCTGATTCTGAGGGATAGGGTTTCAGGTTAACCAGCACGGTCGCGCACCAAAAGAGTGCGGTCCGCGCTGGAAGGGTTCAGAAAAGCCCCAATTTTCTCCCACTCGGCGCGGCTTCAACACATTTTTGTGCGGTCCGCGCCAGGTCCTCAGAAAGGTATACAAATTCGGAAAATCTCAGTCATTTTTCACTTTTCAAAAACACAAAACCTAAGAGGCGATTTTCCAAACAACTTTTCTTCTCCAAAACGATTGGTAAGTGATTTCTAACTTAATTTCTTTATTCCTTAACATCTTTTAACATAATTTCCACTTCAAATCAAAGATTTTCAGGGGTGAAATTGGGTGTTTGGGTAGAACCTAGGTTATCTACAAATTGAGGAGTTGAACCTCAATTTGAGGTCCGATTTCAAAACAAATCATATATCTGGACTCGTAGGGGAATGGGTAACCGGGTTTTGGTCCGAACCTCGAGTTTCGACCACGTGGGTCCGGGGGTGTTTTTNCGGGGGGTGTTTTTGACCATTTTGGGAAAAAACTTGTAAAATTTATTTTTCATGCATGGGGAGTGATTCATTTAGTAATTATTAATGTGATTAAGTAACTTATGACTAGATTCGAGCGGATTGGTGGTGGAATCAAGAGGTAAAGCTATACTAGAAGCGTGAGTTGAGTTTGGAGCATTCGAGGTAAGTGTTTGTTCTAACTTTGGCTTGAGGGAATAGGATTAGGATGATATTTGCTACTTGCTAATGTGGAGTACGGTGTATAGGCATGGTGACGGTTATCTATGCACCGGAGTCTAGCATGACCGTGAGTCTTAATTGCTTTTAATTCGAATAACATGACACAACCTCCTTGTTTATTTGATGAGTTTCATGTAATGTGAACGGTTGAGGTAAAATTGTGATTGGTGTACTTTTGGAGTGTTAGCTCGAACATGAATGTGTTAGTTGAGGAAGAATGGATTTAAAAAGGAGAATGTGTTGTGAATACTCCCTTGCCGGGATGTGTAGACTGATATATATATTCTCCCTTGTC